TGCCACATCATAGATAGTGAACAAAAGGTCAGCAGGAGAGATAGGTCAGAACAGCCTGCATTTTCTCTATTTCCTATTAATAATATACAAAATTTAAGGGCAATATCTGTGACAGACAGTGTTCAAGCTTGCCATGATAAGAAAATGCACATCCCTCAAAAGTACAATGAAAAGACCATGATTAAAAGACCCCTTTTCTAGTTTCCTCAGAGAAAAACATTTTGTGAATGTGCAGGCGTCACAAAACACGAATAAAAAATAATGGAGCAAAACCTCAATGCATCTGAAGGAAGGAGGAGGAAAAGAGAAATATTATTTTTCTGAACCAGCCTTGCTTGGAACTTCTAGTCCCCATTCCCCAAAAACTTGCTATGAGGGTTCTCTGAGAAAACAAGGGCACACACCACACCCACACTTGTGAGAGGGAAGGTCCCTAGGTGAATAGCAGCAAAGCCCCGACCACTGACCCTCAGTCAAGTATCTCTTATTCCTGCAGGTTCCACTAGGCTGTGCTGTGCTCCTGCTTGTCTATTTTCCATTCTGTTCATAGGCTCTCCTTCACTGCTGGCAATTGCCCTCTCAGCTTCTCCTCTTCACTCTGTGGCTCGTCAGGGCTGAGGTGGTAGCACTTGGGTGAGGATCCTAAGGAGGCACATGGCAGTGAGAAAAGGAGAAGAAAGAGTGAGGCTGTCACCCTGGTCTCTACCAGTTGCTTCAGCAGCACGAATGGGTTTACCTCCAAGTGGTAAAGTGAGACCCCCCCCAAGCCAGCTAGTGAGAGACAGGGAATGGCTGGTGGCAGTAAAGGTTCCAGTTATTCTCTGGACTGGAAACAAAGAAAATACTCTCACTTAGTTCCAACCAATGCAAATCCTTTTGAAGATTCAAAATTACCACTCCTGCTGCCCTGCTGTCTGAAGCCCTTCAGATGCTGTTTCACGGGAAATTTCCTGGGTCATTTGACAGGCAAGCACAAAAGGATAAACAAAGCACAAAAGAACATGAAACTTTATGTCCCTATTTTTTTTTACTAGTGTAAAGTATTTGTGTTTAAGATGCTGTCTTTCAGAAATCAACAAAAGCATAAGAAAATGAAAACAAGAGCCTCTTCTGTGTTTTTCTTTGATTTGTGACAGCATGAAAATCCCATCTGCAAAGAACAAGGAAAAGGCTGTATGGTCCTCAAGATCACACAAATGTAAGAGTGAGTGGTACTTTTTTTATTTGGCCCATTAAAGAAACCAAACAAATTGCAAGCATTCATGGAGAAAATTCCAGTGCTTTAGGCTTTGCACAACCCATAATGCAGAAAAATTGTAGACAAGAGTCGAAAAGTTGGTGGTAGGTGGCTGAGGATCAATGTCACTCAAAGGTAACTAACTTTGAGCCGCTTTCACAGACATTATTGAGGGGAAGCCTGTAAGTAGTGGGGTCTGTTACACTGCTATGTTTTCAGTACTGTACGAGCAATACTATATGGTAATACTACAAAGCTGTAGGACTATTTGATGGGGAGGATATGCCCTAGGCAGCCATGAGGCAAAGAATCTGTCTGCCTCACATCCGGTGTAGTCCATTGCCACCTGCCCTGACCCTGCCATGTTATTCACCAGAATTCTTGGTATGTGGTTTAAAGTTTTCATAAAAAGAGAAAATGATATACAGTCATAGCCAAAAATATTGGCACCCTTGCAATTCTATCAGAAAATGTAACCCTTCTCTCAGAAAATTGTTGCAGTTGCAAATGTTTTGGTACTCACATGATCATTTATTTCGTTTGCGTTGGGCATGTTGTGAGAATAGCTGATGGTCGGATTAGTGCAGGGAAAGCACCCCAGAGGGAGACCACAGCTGCAATAGAAGAATATCTGCAAACGGGATCTGAAGGCCTTAGGAATGGACCTCAACAGATGGGAAACTTTGACCTCTGAGCATTCAGCCTGGAGGCAGGCGTTGCATCACGGCCTCTCCCGTTTTGAAGAGACACATGTTCAACAGGCCAAGGCAAAGAGGCAGTCCCGAAACCAGCAAAATCAGGGAGCTGGACAGGGGACAGAATGTATTTGTCCTCATTGTGGAAGGGATTGTCACTCTCGAATTGGCCTTCTCAGCCACACTAGACGCTGGGTCCAAGTCCTCCATGCAGAGCACGTTACCATAGTCTCTCGAGACTGAAGGATGCCTAATCATGGGTGAAAGAGTAATTGATAAGAAATTTTATTCCAGGTCATGCCGTGCACTCCACCCCATTAGACTTAAATCTGTTCTTGTTCTTGTGTTTAAGTTTCTCTGTGCATATGGGCATGAAATCTGTTGTCTAAAACATATGTTCAGTTTAAAAACTGCCCTTACAAATTCAGTTGCAGGAAAGAAAAGAGGTACTTTCCAGAGGAGTGAACATGAGTATTGAGCAGAAAAACTGACAAGCAGGCATGTAACATACTCACAGCTAAATCCATGTATTTATATGTCAGCCCACTGATGATCATGTACATATGATGAAATGCTCAAAATATGTGTGAAGTTATGGAATGATACTGCAGGACAACCGTATACTTATCCCAAAGAATTCAGAGAGGTTTGTTCTCTGGTAAGTGAACATTATAGTGCAATCTTGCACATATTTCCCTATGTGGGTCCTACTGAGTTTAGCTGGACTTCTCTGTCTATGACTTAACTCTAAAGTCATTGCAAGGTGCTAGACTCTTGTTGTTTTCAAAGAGGCTTATACAGGTATCTGCATATTTTGCCTTGTGTCATAAGAAGTCATAGAGTTAGGATACTATAATTGTTTTTTTACTTTTTCATTTGCCAGAACAGAGAAATGAAAGAAATTTCTGAGGGTCACTGTGGAGAACCATGGCTGTAACTCAGAATTCTGTGGGTTTTCTGACATATGTAAATATGCTAAAAAAAAGAGCAAGAATGAAGCTAGTCTAATATTTTCAAGTCAGGCATTGGTTTGTTTTAAAATATTTCAAAGCAAATGATTGTGAGTTATACCGTAATTCCTTTCTCCACACTGGATAAAACAAAGGAAGGCAGGAGCAGACCTAAGTTATCCAGATACAAATGAAAACAAATACAAAGGAGTTATCCAGATACAAATGAAGGCAGGACTCCTGTACTTCTGATTGCTGTATATACCACAAATCTCAGTAAGTGTGGTTGTCATGTAACCAAAAACAGCTGAAACTCCCTTTTCAACGCAACTATTAAAGGTGCAGGAGCTCCGTTCTGTTCTTTTTCTGGGTGTTGAAAAGCTTCCTGACCAATTAGACAGGATATGGCCCTACACATTATTCATTTTCCATAAGTGGAAGACCTAGAGTACATTGCTTTGAGCAAATAAAAAAATGACTGTGTCAGCCATTAATAGAGCAAAAGCCCCAGGTGAAACACTAAACTTTTTAGATCTTGAAAGAGTTACTAGTTATTATTATTAGGTCCTTTTTAGATCCGTTTGGTATGGAAAAGTCGATGAACAGATGTTCAGTTTGGAAAAAATACGAAGATTTTTAAAGCTAAATTAATCTAGGGCAACCAGACTAAGACATGTAGGCATGGATGATTGTGCATATGGAACAAATGAGAAGTACGTGTTGTTGTTTAGTCGTTTAATCATGTCTGACTCTTCGTGACCCCATGGACCAGAGCATGCCAGGCCCTCCTGTCTTCCACTGCCTCCCAGAGTTGAGTCAAATTCATTCTGGTAGCTTCGATGACACTGTCCAACCATCTCATCCTCTGCCGTCCCCTTCTCCTCTTGCCCTCACACTTTCCTAACATCAGGGTCTTTTCAGGGAGTCTTCTCTTCTCATGAGATGGCCAAA